AAATTTCAGTGAAATTGTGATCAAGGAAAAGAAAATTTAGTTCGACTTAGCAAGGAATTCGAGTTATTCGAGTTCGAGTTATCAAGGTTCTACTGTTTTTGTGCAGTCTACTCCCATGCACTCGCGGAGATGAAGCTAAGCCAGCCATTGGAGAGTATTATACATTTAGGAGCGCGTATTATTTTCCGTAGTAATTATCATTACCTGCATTGGTTGATATCCAGCTATTGATGAAATAAAAACCACAGATCCACCCCTAAACAAAACAAAACAAAAACATCAAAAATCATTTGTACAAATAGGAGACAAACAACTAAACGAATGGTAATATTATTGTACCCAACTCGTGCCCAGTCCTCACTTAAGATTTGTACGAGAAGCAAAGGGAGGTCGTTTCACTGTTCAACCACCCATCTATTTTTCTTAGACCTAAAGCAGAACGAACGCAACAAATTACCAAGCGAAAACATAAGAAAAGACCCGTGCGCGAACGCAAGAAAGAAAAGGCTTGTTTCTCAAAAGTCGAGTTAAATTGACGAGCCTAAAGTCTCAGTAGGATAAACATCTAAATATTAGCAGTTGGCGTTCTAGCTTCTTTGACCAGTCCATTTCGTTTTGTTATAACTATCAAAACCTCGATCTTGAGTTGAAACACTTCAAAGAGCTTTCCGAGAATTACGGGACGTTCGAGAAGCGGGTCCAAGTGGCTTAGTTTTAGATAATTATAATCTTACTTTGCTTTCTGCACGTCGCGCGTGTGCACTCCCGTTACTACATCTGGCCCCGGTTGTTCAAACGTTGGATAGCGCTATCCACCGGATAAATCACTATACAGCGGATAAATATTACGGAAATCAATTACGCTATCCGCTGGATAGTGATTTATCCGGTCGATAGCGCTATCCGACGTTTGAAGAACCGGGGCCAGAAGAAAAAGAGAGCCGCGCAGGGTATTTGGGAGCTTTAGCAACGACGATGCATGGCGACGGCGATAATATCGTCACTATCAAAACGAATTCGCATTTTTTAACTCTGTTGCGTTCATTCCAACTCGCTTAAACTGTCAAATGTAGGTGAATTTTCTTGAAGTTGGTTTCTTGAGGGCCGCATCCAAGTTCAGAAAGAGAGAGAAAAACTCGTCTTCGTGTTTTTACGTATTCCACAAAACGTAACATGAATTAGGAAATTTTACGTCGTGGTCGCACGGTCAACGAAATCAAATGTACCAAAAAGTGTGCTGTACGCGCAAAAATTGTTGTTAGCTTATAAAACCTTTTAGCATATTTTGGTGACGAAATAAACAAAAATAAAACTCTGCAAGTGATACTGCCCCTTTAAAATCCATTAAAATAACAACAAAAGCAACAAATCTACAAACCCCCTTTTCTCCATTAAAGGAATAACATCCTTCGCCAGCAAGAAGGCAGACTTCACGTTCACATCAAAGATCTGAAAAATAACGAAAACGTAAACAGATATAGCTTGAGGTGCTGCCTGAAAACAGTTTCCAAGCGGTTACTATTAATCAGGCATCTAACACAATATTTAAAACTAAATCTGGAAGTCATATGGACAAATTACCAAACGAGCGTGTTCACTCATTTTGCTTACTAGTGTGAGCCCTTGCAGAGAGAAATGGTCGAAGAAACTTTTAGGGTAAAAACATATTAAAGTCAGGCCTCCCGTAATTAACGGCCCATACGAAAATTTAGCGCTCGCTTGTGGGAGGTGAACGCTAAAGAGAATCGGACCACAGGGTGTCTTTCTGAGTAGAGATCCGGACACATCCACCAGGGCTGTCACTAAGATTTCAAGTTACTGGGTACAGCTGTATATGCAGTAAGTAGGCGGGAAATTTAGTCTGCTACACAGATAAAGATTTGAAAGAGAGCATGATCTTAACAGTGGAATGAACAAAGGTAAGCGGTTAAAAAAGAACCTGAAAAAAAAAGTCTGGCTTGACCGGGAATCGAAGCTTTACCTTTGCGATGACCGGATGCAACGCTCTATCCATTGAGGTAACATATGATTCATTCGAAAAAGTAAAAAAAAAAAAATGATTCATTCGTATATTACATCATTTATATCAGATAGCGTTGCGTCCGGTCAACGCAAAAATTAGGGTTCGATTCCCTGTCACGCCTGAATTTTTGTCAGTTTCTTTTTCAACTGCGCTTAGGTTGTTCATTTCCCCGCAAAAAACATGTTCACTTAGATCATGTTCACTTTCATGAATTTCGATATGTTCTATTTTCACTTTTGTTTCCTCTCAAAGTATCATAAGTAATCATATTTATGTCGTATCATATTTATATGTACGCTTATTTTCGTCTTTATTTGATTCGTCTGTCAGCATGTTGAATTTGGGGTCAAACTTCGTCTTAACACCGTTTTTCGTCTCTAGTATAAATTCGGCCACTGTTTAAATACAAAAAGATAATTTTTTGAAAATTAATTGTACCTGTTTATTACACATTAAGGACAGAAAATGTGACGTTTATTTTGCAAAAGATTACCTTATCCCAAGCTTCCTCTGGAGTCTAAAATTTTACAAACAAAAGACAATGAATTATTGCATGACGATCGAAATATTGAAAGTTGAAGCAGTATGATTTGGTTGATTATTTATTTATTTGATATTTATTTTCTTTCTTTGAAACTTGCGACATGTCCCCTGAGGGACTTTACAATTTATTTATGTAGATGTAAATGTAGACTAGCCTGTGTACAGACGTCGGATTTTTTCCTGAGGGAGGAGAGACGTCTGCAAACAGGCTAGATGTAGACGTACACATTAAAAAACGTTAATCTACATCTGTATGTACTGCTAGTTATAGCTATCGCTAAGTGCCAACGAGCAAGATTTTACGGTTTTAAATGACGGGTGGGTCCATTTGCAACGTACGCGTATAGCTGTCGCATCTGCTCGCTGGAGTTTTCTATTGTTTTTAAGCCTAAAAACAATACAAAAATGCCAGCAGGAAATGCGACAGCTATACGCGTATGTTGCAAATGAACCCACCCGACGGTTGGTTGAAGAAGGGATGAGCACGGGACTCACAAACAAGCACACTGCTCGTGGATTCTCTGTTGTTTCACGCGTTCGCTCGAAAACGATGCATTCTCTGTTTTGTATTATGTCACCTTACACTACCTTATGTTACATCGCTTCGAGATTCATTCTGCCTTGCAACTTTCGCGGATGGCTTTATTAGGCTGTCGCCTCGCAGCCTCGCGTCTTCGCAAGGCTGCTCGTTGGCAATTATTCATGAAACTAGCTTTCTCCTGGATCAGTCATGGTTATTGGAGTAGCCTGAGTTCCTAAGAATACATACAATTTAACATTACTTGGAGTAAACTGCTACTTAAAAACATAAATTCCCTTTAGTTCCTAATGAATAAGGACAAGTCTTACAGTGCACCACATGAGTGAAAACGGAACAGGTTGTTTTAAAACTGACGTACAGCACTATTAAATACCTTAGATAGTAAAATTGGCCTTTGTCAGTAACACCTGCAGAAGTGGGCCAAATGTTGGATTGACGGCTGCATTTGATACCAAGATATCAATCCCACCAAAGTGTTGCAAAGTCTAAAAACAAAATGCACAAACTACATATATCAGTAAAGATAGCTATTAATTATTAAGCAAAAATTAGCTTACAATATAGTAAGCTTTTGTGCATTATAATGCTTGCTAGTTTTTGTTTTTGAGGATTTTGGTGAGGTAAAAGCATTAAGCGTTATTCGTTATGATTATTTTTTCAGAGAAAATGAAACTTAAAGAACTTTTTAAGATAAAATGGCCCCTAGTGCAGCCGTTTAGAGGATAAACTTTAGATAATCTTTATCGATCTTTAACAAAGACGCTGTATGATGGGCACTATTGAGCATTTTAGTGACTTTATTGGGGGAGACTGTGCATTTTAGTGGAAAAAAAGGAGCATTAAGGTGGAGCATTTAAGTTGGGAAGCAAATGGATAACATACAAACGTCTACCATATAGTCTCCCATGCAGCCATTACCTGTCTCTTCATGCTTTGCATGACGAGACAAAGACAGTGCTCGAAATTAATTTTTGATCATCTTTTCAGACATAGACAAAAGACAGGGTCTGAAATTAATTTTTGACAACCACTGGACAATCATCTTTTCAGATCTAGGTGTCCAAAGAGAAAATTATCTAGTCCCTAATAAAAGCCATGGTCAGCTGTTAACCACCTTGACTTAAATTTCTGAAACTTCACTTAAGTTGTGCTGTGGTTCCAAAGCTTCTGTCTCTGACTGAGTTTTCTTGTTTGCAATGACCAGAGCCTTTGAATCTCCAGCTTTTATTTCCGAATCTTTCAACCAATGGACTGTTTATAACACTGTACCATTTCTCATGCAGAATTAAATCTCGACCTAATGGTGTCTTTTCACAACTGTTCATGCATTCAAAGAGGTTGGCAGTGTTGGTCAGTGGCCACTGCCTATTACTGCCATTACTATTCATTCTTGTAGTCAGCCATGTTGAATGTTTAAGCACTTGGAATAAATAAAGTTCTGTTACATGTACAAGTATTGGCCCTAGACTACAGCGTGAATTACATGGGCAACCAGTCCGTGATTTGGTAATCGCTATCAAGCAAGGACCGATCAGCTGCCAGTCTTATAAAAGCAGTTTAAGACCCGGATATGCAGTCTTGATTTAAGTAACATTTCAGATGGATGTAGTGGCTGCTACCTTTGCAGTTCGTCATTTTAACTTTTCTTAATTATGATTTTAATTACAAGATTTTAGAATTTTGATAAGTATAAATGGAGTTTATGTAATGTTTGTGAGTTATCATTAGTAGTTTTAATTCTAACTCTTAGTAGATTCTAGTTTCGACTCTATATTGATTCGTTTCTATTTTTAGATTGTATTTAAGAAAATTAGGTGTCCCCTATTAGCAGTGGGGAATCCCCTCTGCTAGATTTCTGTTTGACACGTGAATAAAGTCATTATTATTATTATTATTATTACTGTTAAATTAAGTCTGTTCATTTCTGATGACTGGACCACAAGAAATTTCAGACTGTGAAAGAACAGCTGCATGGGACACTACTATAATAAGCAGTTTTAATGTGACATTAGAGGATTTGAGAAAAATGCTGACCTCCTCAATGAGATTCTTACGATGCTGAGGCTTTCGCTGCACCGTGTGGTGTGGAAATTGAAGTGTTGGAGCGAGGAGTAAAAGGTTGAGACTTTGTCGTGATCTTTGGGACAGAACAAAGGCTGACGATTAGTAGACTTTGGCACCATCTCGAACAAGCTGCTTAGCAATTCCAAATCCTATCCTGAAGTGGAAATTTAAATACTAATATCATCGTAGTGATAAAATAAAATTACATGTACAAAGTATCAAATATCACCTTTAGAAAAAAACCTAGCACTCCTGGTAAACTAGTAAAATGTTTTGCTTTTGAAATTTCTTAAAATATTGTGGAAATTTTCCTTAGCTTATAAATCAGGTAGTTGGCAAACAGTAGCATCCAACATTTTCCAAGTTAAGACCTTGCTTCACTTTGCAGCCCGGCTGTACATGTGGACCTCAATTGTTTGGTACTAAGAATAAGGTGGAGGGTGTTGGGCTCTCTTTAGTTTTTCATTGAGCATGATAATGAACATCATTAGAAAGAAAATAATTTTGATACAATATGAAAGTTAAGCAATAAAAATTTACTTTCCTTGCACAGCCTGATAATTAAACACAAGTTGGGGATGTTGGAAGAATTCAAAACAGCTATGCAAACCTAACATGAAGTCAATGGTTTGCATACACACTGTAGCTGTCGAGAATTTTCCCATTCCTTTGACTGTCTATTATCAGGCTATGCAAAAACAGGAAAAAAGTTTTGTAGTGCTTTTAGAAAATACAACATGTTACTTTCCTGACAAGAGAACAGAAGCAAAACTCTTTGTATACTTGAGCTGATTAAAAAGGAAATTCTTACTGCTCGTGACTTAAATGTTGTACACAAAAAGTTTTTTACTTGTAATCACTTCCTGTTTAGCAAAAAAGATGTTATATGTACAAAATACAGATTTCCCCAGTTAAAATGTCAACTTAAGCAAAACAAAAACTTTGAAAGATTTGAACCCCGTGAGTCATTATATTTCATAAATTGGTGGAATGTAATCGTCTAGGTGATTGTAGTCCAGGCCCTGGTTGTTCAAACACTGGATAGCACTATCCACTCGATAAATCAATATCCAGCAGATAAGTATGGGAAAACCAATTGCGCCATCCACTGGATAGAGATTAATTTATTCAATGGATAGTGCTATCCATCTTTCGAACAACTGTGCCCTGAAAACAGAAGAGGACTGTTGTTGACAGTGACTGACTTTACTGAAACAACCTTGATACAGCATATTTAGTTTTTCCATGTTTCATCTATCAATGAAATGGATAGATAAGGTAACTTGTCAGCTCCAAAACCTTTTTCAAATTTACGCTTGTATGATTGGCTTGTGCATAGGAAAATAGCCTGGTAGCAGGCACTGTAGTGGGAGAAAAAGGCAAAAGGCAGGTTGAAACAGCAAGAAAAATCGGCAACCAAAGAGAGGCAAGCAATGGCTTGGGGAGGGGGAAAGGGTTAGACTCCTGCTCGACTTGCTTTGCTCACCCATTTCATTCACCTTTTCCCCCACTTCAAAGCTTGGTCCCAGGCTAACAGAAAAACATCTTGACCCAAACATGCCTCTCAGCCAAATCGAATCGTTTAGCCTTATTATGGGAATTACAAAGCACTCAAATGACCATAATCCTTTCGAAATATGCATACAAAAGTGTGGAATGAAAATTTACCCTTCTTTACAGGGAAAATATGTATTGCTAGTGTGAATCAATTTTAAGCTTATCATTGGTTCAATCTTCTATTTTCCCTTTGTTTTTGTAAGCTTTTATGTATAGAATAAAAATACGGTATATGCACAACAAGAGAAAACAAACTGAATAGCAGGTCTATTCCGCTTTTTGCAGGCAACAAGAGAAACCCGCAGACTTTTCTTGGTCACCGGAACTTTATAAAACTGTATAGAGAGGTTTTTCCAAAATCTGTCCTCATTCTTGGGATGGCCATGATGAACCAACTAATATGCATGGTCATTATATGGCCGCGAAGGCCCTAGTGTTGAGTTTCAGGTCCACGGTAATCATGTGGCTGCAAACGCAAGTGATGCAACAATATTTGTTTGATTCGAAAACGCACATAATTGAATTTAGGTATACATGTAATGTACTAAATACAAGACTTTTAAATACACATTGCCAGCCGGAAATCTATTAACTAAGGGAAATGAAAGTAGAGCCTGATCTCACCTTAGTGCAGGACGAGTCTTCGGTAAGATATGAGTGATTACAAAGTCTATACATCCGTGTAACTAAGTTAATTCAGGTTACACTACAGAGTGCATGGTTTTTCTATTTCTATACATTTCCAAGCATGTTACGTTACTTGTCATCTAAGCTTCAATAACTTTTTTCATGATTTTCTCTTACATTTCAACGACCTTTGGTCATTGAACATGGATTGAATATCCCATTAAATAAAAGGACTTCAAGTAGTCATGACTGTGTAAATTCTATGTTGAGCAATGTTTATGTCATGCAGATTACTATTTTCATTGTACAGTGGAACCCCATTAATACGGTCACCAATGGGCTGGAAAAATTTGGCCATAATATTACCAGGTGACCCGTATTAACGAGGTGGCCATAAGGTGGGGTTCCAATGTCCCTTTGCCTGCGAATACAGCTGTCATCCAGCTGTCTCTCCTCGCTTCCGATGATTCGCAATATTTGACTTGTTTACTGAGTTGTTCCATTCAGTTTCCACGTTCATGATCCGCCGCGATTCCTTTTGTTGAAACTGGAACTACATGTAAAGGGCTTTCTCTGATTCACGTACACTTATAAAAAAGCGGTTCTCAATATCAACAGCACCTTTAAGGTAAACGTACATGTTCGCAAGCACTTCCTAACCTTTAGTTACGGCTAGCCTGTAAACTCTTCTTTACTTTTAAGTTTTCTTTTCTTGCAAATATGACTACAAAGTTTTTGAGCCTGAGATTCGATAAAAGATTTTATCACCATCAGTTCAATTTCTAGTTCAAATGAGCTGAAAAAATATTGCGTTACCCACCCGTCTGTTGATGCTGTAACAATTGCAACTTTCCCTTCAAGTCTTCTATTTGAAGCTGCAGCAGAACTCATTCTTGAAGACCAAATTGTCGCACAAAATCCTCTTACATTCGACCACAATTTCATGTTTCAGGCATCTTCACGCTCTGAAAAAAACTGGAGAGAAGTGAAACTTCTTCCCGACGGGGTGGGTGAGAGGTGGGTAAGCGACCTAAAGACTCTCCATACCCCACCCTCTACCCCGTCCAACTGAAAAAAAGAAAACGATAAATTTTGACTGACTCTACCCTGGAGGGTATAGAAGACTACTCACGAAACCGCCTGGCAGAAACAAACATTTTGGCGGGTGATTGATTCTTCTGTCGAACTTTTTTTAACTTGCATCGTCACCCTATTACATAAGCTGATGTAAACTGGACTTTGCTTTAAAGTTAGCGTTTGCTGTTTTGTTTGCTGCTCTTCAGAGTATAAAGACGTAGATTTTGACGAGAGTCGAGGTAGGTGCATTTGTCCTTAAGCTTTTTATTAATAACGGTACAAAAAGTAATATAATTAGAATACTAGTATAATACAATTTGCCAAGAGCTTTTATCGTTTTTCTTGGCCGCTAACCGAAGCTTTTTGGGCTTTGTCTTTCCTGACTCTACCCTGGAGGGTATAGAAGACTTCTCACGAAACCGCCTGGCAGAAACAAACATTTTGGCGGGTGATTGATTCTTCTGTCGAACTTTTTTTAACTTGCATCGTCACGCTCTTACATAAGCTGATGTGAACTGGACTTCGCTTTAAGTTAGGGTTTGCTGTTTTGTTTGCTTGTCTTCAGAGTATAAAGACGTAGATTTTGACGAGAGTCGAGGTAGGTCCATTTGTCCTTTTCGCCTTTCGATAAAGCTTATTATTAGTAATAGTACAAAAAGTAATATAATTATAGTTTAGAAAAAAAAAACTAAGCTTAAGTTCAGAATTTTCAATAAAAACTTGGATCAGGCTGGGTTTTTTCTTATTTCAATGCTTACATGCAGTTTATTCATTGAGCCTCCAGCGACTGAGTTTCGCTGGAAAATGTTCGTGAGCTTTACACCAGCGATGAATCGTTACGTAACACTGACCCCTGTGAATGCAGTGCCCTTTAAGACGTTTAAGAAATGGGCCATTTCGGCTCCACGACGCAGTACCCACCATTAGGTTTGTTTTGGCCGTTTCGGCCGAGCACCAAGAGATATAACAATACGTTATACTAACTTCTACTACATTCAAACGTGTAACCAGTATTATGTAATAATTAATTAACACTGTGACTGAAAAGCCCTGTTGAAGGGAGTCTCAATAAAGTATGTATGTATAGATAAACTACATCAGAACTGTATCCACTCAGATGCTGGAAATTCCATATTACATATCCCAACCACATAACATAACAGTTTACTTTTTTTAATACAGCTATCAGAAACTTTAAGGTGAGAGGTGGGGAGGAAAAGTTGTTACCCCTAGGTGTTACAGCCCCTCTTTCAAAATTGATGAATCTGCCCTTAAAAAATGGGCTGTAGATTGAACTTTCATCAAGGGTTAATAATATAATAATAGGGCCATTTATACAAACTACATCTTATGGAAAATGCATTGTAAACAAGATGCAATCATCTAGGGGAGAATTAATGTATATTTATGGTACAAACAATGCAGTCTTCACATCATGTGACTTATAGTGCACGAGCTAAGACACAACTCATAATAAATTGGTTATGTAATACACATGTCATGTGATGAGACGTGTCATATTTTTTCCTGTATAAATGGCTCTATATTGCAGTTCCAGAAAATTTCCTTATCAACCTCTTGGAGGGTTATTAGGAGTTACGAGGGGTAGGGAAGTCCTAGAGGCCAGAAATTTAAAAAGATATTTCTGAAGCTAAACATTAAGGGGTGGAGGGGCCGGTGCATTAGTTCATAGTAAAAAATAAATCATCCTATGGGGGTTTACTTTGGATATTTTTTGAACAGAATAAAACAGCTAATTATAATAAGCTTCCATTGATACAATATCTAAAACTCAGTTGTAAAGCTTTTTTTATTGGTAATGATAACCGCAATAATAACTGTCATGCTCCATATAGTCTGCCTCTCAGCTATTTTTTAGTGTTGCTAAGCAATGCTTAATATTGTGTGAAGGCAATAAAATAGCTGTGTGGGAGTCTAGACTAATAGGCCACTTGCACTAAGAGATCACGTGACCAATGCTTCCTTTAAACAATGAGTTGGAATCTTGCTGATGCCAAAAATTGTTAGAGCACATAAAAATTATCTTACACCGGAAATTTGAGAGGAAACGCATTTAAGAGAGATGTTTTATGGGACTTTGATTTTTCCACAAAGTAGTATCATTTGTATTGGCCGCCATGTTGGAGGGCATGCTCTTGCCCTCCAACATGGCGGCCAAAACTACTTTTTGCTTATATCTTGTTCAACGTTTGATAGTTACGCTCAGAGGTGCAGTAAACGTTAGCACATCATCTTTTCAACATTTTCCTTGAAGTTTAAGTGCAAAATTTGTGTTCAGAGAGAGGTAATTCTTAGTTTTAAAAATCACATTTTGGTCACATGACCAGCTACGAACTTACTCATTTTAAGGAAATGGTGTCGGTTGGAAAAACCAAATCACTATTATTTTGTTTAAGATATGATCCACTTATCGTTTTTCGAAGGCAAAATCATATAACTTTCATTTTCATAAAAACGATGTCACATGACCTCTTAGTGCAAATGGCCTATAGCTGCACTAAGGCTAATCTGATATAATATTCCATGGTTATATGCAAAAGCAATAGATCACCAAGGTGCACCATGACATCAGAACTCCCTTTATTGTCCGGAAAAGTGTGCATTGTGACAGGAGCATCTCGGGGTATTGGTAAAGGTATTGCCTTGATGTTGGCCAAAGCAGGAGCCACAGTGTATATAACAGGTCAGTTCAACTTTAAACCCTTTTAGGAAATTGTCTTACAGTATGATAAATTATCTACCCCACAAACAGTAGCCAACAAACTGTTTTCTACATGAACATAATTAAAAAGCGCAAAAAATTCTTTTTGATAGGAAGGACCCTTGATGCTACAGAAGGAAGGACTGGATCACTACGGCAAACTGCTGAGGAGGTAATAACAATGTTCCACGATATAATATTATTTTTCAGCGTTGGTTTTCCAGTTCAGGTCTTCACAAGAACAGCATGCAAAGAAAGTTGTGTTTGACTGATGCATTTATATCGAAAATGGTTGTAGAATTATCGAAGGAAATACTCGTTAAGTTGTTTTTGAAAGATTGTAGACGTGTGACGTAAATTACATGTAAGTGGTAAGGTATTCCAGGTAATGTCAATCTGGTTGAAAAAAGAAAGAGTCCCTATTAAATAACGAGGTAATACAAAAGTTTCTACCGGGGTGGGGGGGGGGGGAGATTCCAATGGGTACTGGCGACGAACTCCTAGTAAGGACCAGAAACAAAGCCAATGTAGTCCTTGATGAAGAAACAGAGATCGCAGTATTTCTGCCCAGGGTTAATTCTAGAGTGCGGCTTTGTGAGATTCAAGTCCACTTTTACGTAAAAATGACAATTAGGGTGTGGAAGTAATCTGAAGTAAAGGGGCGCTTTCCATTTAGTCAAAATTTCTGGAATTTTCGGTTCGGCGGTAAATGGAACACGTTTCGTCGGTTCATCCCACAGGAAAATTCCCAGAAAAAGTGGAAAATCTAAAAAGGTGGGCCCGTTTTCCCCGTTGGAATTTCCGAACAGAATGTCGTGTTCCATTTCCGTTTCTCGTAGTTTGTACCAGTTCGAGGTTCACCGTCGGGCACCGCGACGTACCGGGGTTTATGACCAAATGGAACAACTTTTTACCAATCGGAAATTCCACTTTTGCTCCCACAGAAATTTCCGGGTTTTTTTGCTAAATGGAAAGCGCCCAAGAATTCGATTTTTTTAAATCACAGTAGAAATAACACCGTTTAAGTGTCTTTCAGGTTTTAATAACACCCCCATAATGAGGGTACAGTGGGCTGCTGCCCCGTGGGGTAGAAACAAAGGATAGGATAGGAGAGCTTTAAATGCAATATCAGGCAAAAGCAAAACCAAAAATTAATTTGCTTTGCGAGTTTTAAGAAACAGAGCTCAAAACACTAAGAGTTGACCCTGTCACGTAGGCTTAGAACTACAATAATTTAATTCACCTCGAATAAGCGCCCATCCTTTGCAGAAAAAGTTAATAAGCGCCCAGCCTCGAATAAGCGCCCACCACCACCCCAGCCCCTCCCCCTCACACTCAAAATCAAATAAGCGCCCACCCTCAGCCCCCCCTTCCAGCTCCCACCCCCCACCCCCCGCAAAAAAACTTGAATAAGTACTAATAAGAGACCTCCCAGAAGACGGTGTTTTCGTCAGAGTAGTTTACAGGAGCCTTGCTTTGTTACATTTTTTTTTACTATTTATTGTTTTGTTGCAAAATAAACATGCTACACTTGCTGAAAATGGTGAAAATTTAATAAGCGCCCACCTCGAATAAGCGCCCACCCTCAAGGTCCAAAAATTTAATAAGCGCCCAGGGCGGTTAATCAAATAAATACGGTATTTCTAATTTTGTTCATATTGGAATATATAGAATTGATGGTACCCTTTTCCAGTTTATATCTGAAATGACCAGCCCCCTCCCCCCAAAAGCTAAATGATCGTCCCCATCACAAGTACGCAATTTCTAGGGTATGCATCCGCCGTGTTGTCTTATTTGGTCGAGACGACTTGATTGGTTCTGCCACAGGCAGCCCAATGATGATCGTAAAGTGTTCAGTGACTCAAAAGAAAACTGTTACACATGACCGCTTCAGGCGGGTCGTTTATAACAAAGAGGATGTTCTGAACCGTAGTTTCTCCTAAACGTTAGCGTTCGGTACGGATAAATACGCGATACAAATTTTACGTTGTGTACGGTATTGTTTGCGTGACACAAGCGATGCGGTGTTACGAAACGATCTCCCATCGCCGACTCAATTCTAGGATCAAAATACAAAGGATTTCGAATAACTGTTTTACATCAAACCACGAAGTCACGTTTTCCACGCTAAGCGAGAGTGTTTTCAGCAGAGGACAAATAGGAATGGTACTAAGCGAATCCCTTGAGGGACTCCATATGTTACGTCCACCCATGAAGAGAATGGACTATCAACGAGAACACTTTGGGATCGTGACTTTAGTAGTGTGAGAACCATGGAGAGTTCACGAATGTCAAATATATAGTATTAATTTATGTTGAAGCTGGTAGTGAGGCAAGGCAGACTCGAAAGGTAAGAAATCTAATGAAACAGCGATTTTAAACTGTTGTTGTTGTTGTTCTTTTTTATTTGACTTTTTAGATAGGACAAGAGAGTACCGGACAGTGTATACCAGTGCAGTGTGACCATGGAAACGATCAAGAAGTCCAAAAGTTGTTCGATAAAGTTAGCAAAGAACAAAATGGACGGTTGGATATCCTTGTGAACAATGCTTTCAAAGGAGTGAAGGTACAGTCTGTAAGCAACAGTCAGGCTGCAACAAATAACAGATGTAACCTAGTTTATATGATGCACAGATTAGGGATAGCCGAAAGCTACAGTCAAAGCTCTCCTAACTGGCAATCTTGTGTTGTGAAGTGGACAGCTCCACTTATTTAAAAAACCAAAATTTAAAACTTTCATACTTGGACGTTCCAAGCTACCTCAGCTGGGGCATATAATATGACAGTGGTACACTATTCCTGGCGCGAGTCTCACACCTGCGGATCAGAAACTTCGATCTTACGCCTGCGGACCAATTTCTCACGGCCGGAGGAAAAATATGAACCACAGCCTTAAAGGACCCATTTTCGAAAAATGTACAAAAGTAAAATAAACTCTAAGCAATTCGAGAAAAGGAAAGTCTATCTGAATGATTGTACTTTTCCCAGAAATCAGTGGTTTTTGAAAAGAAAGCACCGCAACTGAGTTATTTAGAACACTTCGAAACCCGGCGTCTTCTGAAATCTTGGGACGACGTCTTACAGATTTGATCGGGTCCTTTACGAAAAATCCTGATACTCTAAGGACAAAATTCTCGCGCCTTTGACTCAAAAAAGGTGGCAGGTACACTGCGCTGTACTTACTTAAATTAGGGAGCTTAAACAACGACGACAGCGACGGCAACGAGAACGGCGAAAAAGCAACAGGTCTAAAACAACATTTTTACTAAACAACAAATTTGCACGTTCATCACGCTTTTTTGTAGCCTGCGAATACATCCAGGGCGGATAAAGGTTGGGCGGTGAAACGAGCGCTCCGCTCTTCATTTAATGTGTGATGCGGAGTAGGACTGGCACGAGCGCTCTTTCCGCGCTTCCGATGCGCTTGAAAGCCGGCGAAGTTTTCCTTTTTTGCAAACCGGAAATCCTATTTTCTTTCTGTAATTTCACGCTACAATGTTAAATAGATAAATTCGCTTCATAACAATATCAATAAACAGTTTCATATGTTTGTGTCTGTACGTCTATAAGTCAAACTTGTTGGTCGTATAATGCCAAAATTTGAGTTTAATTTGAANGACTGTCGCAGCCTGCAATACGATCTGAAGCCGTCTACGTTGCTCGTATTAAGACGATCCTCGAAAAAGTTAACAAATAATGCCATTTATAACAGCGATCGCAGGCATGCCACGTTTGTTTGACTTGATTTCAGAAAAAAGCACCAAGTCGGTGTAAGTCTGCGATGTGACGTAGCCAGTAACCAGATTGCCTAGTATTCCATATCTTATGGACATCAGGCCTCATGCAACTGCAAGACTAAAACTGTCGACCAGCCTGTCTATAGACACTATGTGACGTAATTTAGAGATAGTCTACTTATTTATTTATTTATTTTCTTATTTATTAATTATAATATTATATATACTTTTTTATGACAGTCCGGCACGGTAGCACCCATTAGTTTCCTATTTGATATTCCTCCCCTATTGGCCACAAACTGTTGCCTCGAAGACCCCGTCCACGCAAGTATCCGGATATTTTTGAATCCGCAACTTTTTCTTTCCGGATTCGGCTTCCGTCCATACGTATTCGGTGAATACCAGGGCGGATAAAGGTTGGGCGGTGAAACGAGCGCTCCGCTCTTCATTTAATGTGTGATGCGGAGTAGGACTGGCACGAGCGCTCTTTCCGCGCTTCCGGTGCGCTTCAAGGCCGGCGAAATTTTCCTTTTTGCAAACCGGAAATCCTATTTTCTTTCTGTAATTCCAGGCTACAATGTTACATAGATAAATTCGTTTCATAACAGTATCAATAAACCGTTTCATATGTTTGTGTCTGTACGTCTATAAGTCAAACTTGTTGGTCGTATAATGCCAAAATTTGAGTTTAATTTGAAAGTGTTGAATACTTCCTCCTTCCACTAAATATCACCTAATCGTCTTTCGCCGTTTCGTTTGCAAAGGCTTAACACTTCTTAACCTCAGTTTTTACATATGTTAAAGGGGGATAAACTTTATATAACATAACAAAAAATTTGATTGATATATATTGATATAGTGGCGTTGTACTTCTTCAAACTTTACTTCTCAGGTGCAACGCGCCATGGCGATTCGCGCAATGCGTTGCAAAGCCGGCAACCGCTTGTAAACAAAATTTATTGAGGTTAGTTGTAAGGTTTTTTCTCCGTTTTTCTCTCTAAAACAAAACAAGGTAAACAGTAAAAACTGATGGGAAACTCATTTTGAAGTTTCGAAGAAACAGAAAGACATGAAATGTTTTTTTCAAAATTAAAAAGAAGGATGATGGTGATTGAAATTAGCATAATTTCACCTTGCACGAGCTGCACGCATTTATAATATACACGTCATCTAGTTATGAAACACGATCTGCTGTATTTTTGCCATGGATGACATGGATGAGATTTTCCTTCGTGTTTTAGACAGTACTTAGTTGTTTTGTTTTGGAATAACATCGACATTGGCGAGTAGCAGAACGAAAATATAATTCAGTGGTAAAGTCATGAAAGTATTAAAAGAAACCTTTGAAAGAGATGTTTGTCCACTCCAACTAAACCTCCCGCAAAAAATGGCAACATTTGCCTCTCAGAGACAGCGTACCAGCACAAAGGAACGAGGAAGAAGTGCAAGAAAACAAATCAAGCCGCCATAAATTCAGTGACAGCAGCAGTGTCTAATGTACAAACCACATCGCAAGCCCTGACCGAAGCCGAATCCCAGTCCACTGCATCACACCTTTTTGCTCGGACGCGCTCGTTTCACCGCCCAACCTTTATCCGCCCTGAATACAACCGTTTCTCCTCGCCCCAAGTTCAAGCACAGGTAACCCAGGCTCACAGTTTGTGTCACATACGGGTTTCGTAACATGAGTAAATATAGCGAACATGGGGCGAAGTTTAGGTCTGGAAATTTGCCAGAAAGTGGAAATAAAAATCGATGAAATTTACCATGTGGCGAGTTGTTGTTGTCCTCAATATGCACCTGACGTTTCGAGAAAAATAGCCTCTGCTTCATCTTTACTATGCTATGTAAGAAAGATGAAGCGCACTATTTTCTCGAAACTTCGTGTGCATACTAAGGAGCGAGGACCGAGAGACGGCAGTATTCGCATGCTGGCTTTTTTGGACATTTCTTTGCCGTTGTTGCACGACTATGAATTTCTGAATTTAGATACAATCCTTTACAATCAACTTACGGAAAATTCCGTAACATTAAACAAATTATATGAAATGGAATAAGAGCATTAAATAAGGTTTGAAACAGTGCGAATAGCGACGACGTTTTCGCTGCCCTTGCCGTCGTGATTGCTTAAGCTCCCTAATAGCAGTGTCATAGTTTACTCAAAAAGTGATTAATATATCGAAATATATATATATATAATAACTGTGTGTTATTGACAATTTTTGTGTTATGGCCTAGGTACTGAATGAAAATGAAGAAAAACCATTTTATGAACAGGTAAGAATCTCAATTTAATTGTCGTTGTTGAAGAATTCTGCTTGGAAGACATTTAATTAATATGCATCATTTTGTAACTTTTTGTAACTTAGAGGGACGATCTCTTGCACTTTATTAACACAAAACTAATGTCATAATTTGTTAATGTCCATCGTGCATCAATGCTTGTTATGACATCAGTTAGTACATTTATTTATATACTACTACATGAGAAAATTTCTGCAATTTGATGGCTTAGAGCAGTGGCATTTCAGCTTAATTTGAAATACCTACATGTGAAAATTACAAAACTATTGCGGGTAGTAGTATAAACAAATAATAGCATGATCTCATGCACTATAAACCGTATTTATGGTGACGTGATATTTCAAAATTGTCTCAAATTTCACTCGCCTAACGGCTCGTGAAATTACGTATAACAATTTCGAAATATCACTTGTCGTATTTATGCCAAATATCACTACAAATCATGCTATTACCTATACTAACTGGTCGGTGTTTTCCCTGCGGTTGTTCAATGAGACTAACCGCCAAACAGATGCGCCTTCCAAGGTTGGTTTCAAGTACAAGTTTTGATTTAGAGGAAGAAGCAAATATCTATCGACGCTGCTGGAAAGAGGGCCCCAAAATTAGGAAACTTATCAAGTTTAACGGTGATACGTCCAAAGACAGCCAAGATATTGCTCCACAAAGTCACGAAATTTTACAGACGTTTGTATGGTGGGGGCACGATTCCACCCTTGTTTCCTCTTCTTTCGTTTGTTTGGCCACAATTAACTTGGTGTTATCCTGATTCTGATCCTTTAGCCTGCAAACGTGTGGGATGAAGTGAACAATGTGGGACTTAGGTAAGAAAATGAGTATCTGAAGAACGAAAAAACTTTTCAGTTCAGAGATGGTATATCACATTAACATTTTTGGTATGTAAGGTAATTCCCTTGTTTTGTACTACGCATCATCTACTGCGCGTAACTTTGTGATATTAAAGGTGTAGACGGTCATTTTCACCGGCCGCCTGAAGAGAGGTAACAAATGGCCCTTTTGTAGTCTAAATAGTTTTCTTACATTTTTTTGCAACCCCCGCCTCGCGGTTGCCTTTGCTCGCCTGAAAAACGCAAAACAACGGCTGTTCTGCCGCCTAGTTTCTTGGTTAGTTGAACTGTGACAATTTTTTTGTAGATAGTCATTCTCTCAAGTCAGCCAGTACCTCAAGAAATATTGTTAAGGGAAAATATATGCATATTCTCAAAGCTGTGCAGTAAGTCTTGCTGTTTTACTCTCAGTTAATCGGCTGTAATCTTTTCGCCCTCCTAAGTATGTGGCGGTGTGGATTACTCTCAAGGCGTTTTTTGCTATTGAGTGTCTTAAAAAGACCGCTTGTCACGGAAAGGAAAACAAGCAATGGTGTGTTAGGCCTTGGTAAGATAAAAAACGTTGATACCAACTTGCTTCTACCGAAAGGAGAAGAGCTCTTGGTCGCATACTCGCAGGGTGGATCTTAGGCACATGTGCTCATTGCAGCTCTGGACTTTATTTCATGTTTTTTGTTTCAACGTTCTTTGCATGTATTGTGCAGCTGTAGTTTATCTCTCACTTCCAACCGTTTAACTTGATGTATAATAGTCAGTAGATGTTAATGACTAGGTTACGGCAGCAAGGAGTTCTTTGTTAATTCGTGTTCATCATCGGCATCCTTTGTGTCCCTTTTCTCCATCAAGGTCGAATTACATTGCCGCGTGGCATGCAGCCAGGATGATGGTTCCAGCTAAACAAGGACTTATAGTCAATGTTTCATCGTCAGGAGGATTGACATATCTTTTCAACGTTGCATATGGCGTTGGGAAAGCTGCAGTAAGTCGCACAAGTTTACATGCACTTAAAAATGAAAGTGGGGTGTTAGTGGGGTTCTTGAAATTACGACTTCTTAGCGAAAACTTTGTACCTTAATTAAAAAGATGTGTTTCGACTTCCGTCCTTTTCGAAGACTCGTCCTTCAGTATTGGCTGGTACTTAATTTTCAAAGGTGCATATTCAAGATCATCTTGATTGCATTGATAATCTCTTTGCATTACTATTTTTCTAAGAATGATCGAATGGCCGCAGACATGGCTGTGGAGCTGAAGGAACAGAATGTGGCTTGCGTGTCCCTTTGGCCTGGAGCTGTGATGACTGAAAATATCAGAGACCATTTAAGTCAACCACAAGATGAGAAGGTAATTTGCAGGTTCTATACTAAAACATATGTATCCACCACTTTTTATACGTTACAGAACGCTCAAGTGAAAAAAAAAAAACATAAACATCAAAAAACAAATAGAGGGTGTCAAGGAGTTTCTTTTGGCCCAAGTTAATAAGTATAAAATTTTCATCTGTTGATTCGTGCCCTCTTTTTATCGTGTTTTTCTGTTGGACGGAGGGCGCTAAATGGAATCATAAAATTTGAACCCTCCTTCCGCTGATAAGTCAGAATCACCCTTAAATGTACTTTTGTAGCAACTTAGGTTTGGGGTTACCATAAATCCCCCATTAACCCCCCTCCCATAACTGCAACTATCGTGCGCGTCCCATATGGTTTCTATCTGCTATACCGAAAATCTTTGAGAAAATATAATTTCATGAACTGTACTCCCAAATTTCAATGGGTGTCTCTCTCCTAACATGTCTTGCTTTCTACGTGGCCACTTCTGTTACCCTGAACTTGTAAAGCTAACTCATTATTGGCGCATGTCACTTAATAGAGAGATTTAGAGTCACGTTCACGGCAAACGGCAAACCTCACGATTTTCCCACAATAGAAAGTAAGCAGATATAAACTGTCTAGAACAATTTTTATGGATTATACTGGAGTGAAACTACATATTTGTTTGTAGAAAATAAACAGTAAACTACAATTAAGGGGGAAACTTGGTCATGTGCAAATTCACGTTTAACGTTTAACGTAAACGTGCCTCTAAATCTCTCTAGTAGCAAAAAAGGAAACTTGTTTTAATCGCTATCGACTTGTCAAAAGCGTTTGATTCCATCTTCCTCAGCTTATTGTTAGCATAGCTGAAGGCGTATGGTGTTGATGAGTCAGTCAATTGATGCACAGGCCTCCCAGGCTCACGTCACGAGTGCGTTATGTAACGTTGAACCTTACATGTGCCGAACCTAATTATTAGGTTCGGCACATGTAAAGTTCGACGTATGAATCAATTAGGAACGGCACTTTTGTATTTGGGTCGACTCTGCCGTTCTAGTCGACTGAGCTTGTCGAATAGAACGGCAAAAGAGCGACTTCGATTCATACGTCGTGCTTCACATGTGCCGAACCTAATGCATAAATTATGTTAACGTATTTTTCAGTATAACTTCGCTTCTGATTGGCCATTTAGTGGGTTTTCGCGCCTGTGCTGACAGAACTCACAGAATCGTAACGACGGTTACGTTCTGGTTATCAGCATTCACGTTGTAGACTTTTAGACTGAAACTGGACAGCTTATAACGGTCTTCTAAAAAGTTGCTTTTCTTTATATCCATAAATAAAGAAATCGTAATGTAATTTAAAATTTATTGCGTTACTTTATTTTGTCCAAATATCACGATCACGATCTCCTCAGCTGTCTCCTTGCCATAACAGAGCACAAATAACACTAAAATCAAAACAAGAATTTCCGGGCTTGGTGAATTTTACTTTTCTTTTCAGTATATTTCCCTATTTTAAGCAGTAAGGATGATATTTCTTCTCGCCACGAATTAGGTTCGGCACATGTAAAGTACAACCGTCTGAATCAACAGTCGAACCTAATAGTTTGGGTCGACCTAAATAGGTATTAGGTTCGGCACATGTAAAGTTCGACGTTTGAACCGGGCCGACATACCGGATAGCTTTTCGTGCTGACATGAAAAGCTATCCGGTATTGTATGAACAGCAAGAAGACAGAACTGGAATCAGTCGTTCACACACATCCAACATCGTACTGTGCCGAACCTAATTATTAAGTTCCGGTCATGTAAAGTTCCACGTATGAATCAATTAGGAACGGCACATTTCAGTGACTTTTGTATTTGGGTCGACTCTGCCGTTCTATTCGACTGAGCTTGTCGAATACAAAGGCAAAAGATCTACTTCGATTCGTACGTCGAACTTCACATGTGCCGAACCTAATGCATAAATTATGTTAACGTATTTTTCAATGTAACCGCGCTTCTGATTGGCTATTTAGTGGGTTTTCGTACCTGTGCAGGCAGAACTCACAGAAGCGTAACGACGGTTACCAGGTATTAGGTTCGGCACACTCGCTTTGTCTAATGTAGGCGAATTTTCCTGGAGTTGAATTCTCAAGAAAGATATTCAAGTCTAAAAAGAGAAAGAGAAATTCGCCGTGGTATGTTCAAGTTGTCGATAAAACGTGCAAAGTTGTTGTTTTGGTAACCTAAACCTATTGTTTTTGTGACGTTCTCGTTGTCGTTTCGGTAGTTACATCTTTAACTCCCTAGTACTTACCTCCGCTACGGACCGAATACCTGTCTGTTCACTTTTCATCGAATGCGAGAATATGCTTGGTGAAAACATTATTTATTTATTTATTTATTTATTTATTTATTTATTTATTTATTTATTTATTTACGAAGTGTGAACATTGTCTCGGGAGCACCCAACGACTGTTTTCTGTGAAATATCTGTTCGGAGAAGTAAAAATTGCCTAGAATTTTCTAGAGATTGGGGAAGGCTAAAAATTTCTAGATAACAGTTCCATTCATAAGTCATTCATGTACCATTTTCGAAGCATATCTAAGAAATTCCCTACGTTTTCCTAAAGTTCAATTTTTCGCATTTCAGCCCCCAGGTTAGGCTATTCTAAGTAGGAAAAGGAAAGTTAAAATTTTCGGATTCGAAAATGCGATGGAGAGAGGAATCAGAAAAATTATCTCTTTCGTAAAACAATGACTTAAAACTGCATCTAAAATTTTCGAGAAAATAATTCTGAGACCCTTGTAATTTCGAAAAGACTCAAGTTTTCCTAGGGTGACCGGATCCGACAGATACAAATTTTATAGCGCCGCTTAGAATACATTTCTAGAGTTTTCAATGCTTTTAGGTGGAAACCGTCGTTGGGTGCCCCTGTAGTCTTAATGCAAGAGTGTCCTACTTAGCGTACAACCCTTACTTCGATTTACTCGGCTAACATAAGTTAAAACTCGAGTTAATTAGAAAATAATAAAGATGAGTAAAACCAACCTGTGGGTAATATTTCACTTTGTAGATAAGGAGAACAGCCAAACTTTTCGAAGATGCCGAGGATCCAACATTTTCAGGCAAGGCCGTGGCTTGGCTGGCAGCAGGTATTATTACAGTTGATTTTAAACATTGCCCATGTTGTTCAAGACCAACGCAAAATACCATAATATAGCATAACGTGAACGAAGCCCAGTTATCTCTAATTCTGGGTATATAATTGTGCTGTTAAATCGTCCTTTAAACAACACGGCCCAGATAGTTCAGGCTATCCCATTACGCGCTGGGTTTGACAGTAACCGGCTACGTCACGATATTTAAGCCAAAAGGTGTCTTCGTATCAGTTGAATTCCAAAAATAATGGCCCTGTTTTTTTATTTGATACTATATTTAGGCATTGAAACTGTTTTCTATCGTCTGTTTCTACGAATGGCATTGATGAACATGGATTGAAACTTCAAAAAGTTGGGCCAAGTTTTTCAAACTTTAATGCCCTGCCTGCAAAGATCACCAGAAAAATTATTATGGTGTTAGTTAAAGTTCCCTGATAAAATTTGTTTGATGTCTTCTTCATAACTCTACAGGAGCATTTTGAGTATGCGTAAAGACACTAGGTAATGACGTCAGCACAGAACAAGTTGTCCTAAAACAGCATTCATTTATCCTCGTGACATAGCCCCTTTAATTCTGCAATTTCAGATCCGGGCATAATGAAGAAAAGCGGTCGGATTCTCATAACAGCTGAGTTGGGGCGAGAATACGGCTTCAAAGATGTTGGAGGTTAGTCTTGTTTGGGTTTGGGCTTTTTTGCTCATGTACGCTACTCTGTATGCACAAACCAAATATGGCAGGAGACTTCCCACATGTATCCAATCAACGCCAGCGCACCCTTGGCGTACTCGACAAAGACTCTGCGTGAATCGAGTAAGATCTTTGTTGAGCAGGCGCTGCATGTTGCTAGGATACAGTTTCAAACCCAGGCCTAATAGCCGTGCGCTCGTTACAGCGGGCTTGAGGATGAACATCGGTTTATCAATAGACGGATACTCGCACTCAAAAACCCAGTTTGACGAGAGAAAACAGATTTACTAGTCCGAAAGTTCAGGTTGCGGTGACGTCAAAGACTTGACACGCTTCAGGCAGAGCCTCCTTTTTTCCCCCTCGATCAAGAAGAAGAGAAAAGGAGCCGCTCTGCCCGTAGGGTGGCGCTAGCATAGCCGGTGTATAATTATTGATGCTAGAGGCTTGTCTTTAAGGTCCATATTATACCATTCTTGGAGAAGTCACGAGGAACAACTAACTGTTTGTTGACTTGTATAAAGCTTAAAAGTGACGTCTTTGTTTGGTTTTTGGTGTCATGACACGCGTGCTCGTGCATTCACCTTATTCCCTGAAATCCCGTGGAGGGTCACACATTGGTTTCAGTGGCGGATCCAGGAGAGGCCCGCCCCTCCCCCCCATAGTTTTCGACCAAACTGAGGCGCGAAGGGCCGAAAAAATTTTTTGGAGACCGCCCCCTCCCTTATCTTAGGTCTGGATGCCCCCCCCCCCCCTCCCCCTTCTTGCAAGAGGTAATCAAAATCTTATTAGTAGCAAGTCCCTTGGTCTAACTCCAAAATTGTGAACATCAGTTTTATTCATTAATGTCCTTCCATTCTTTTAGGAACCCAGCCATTGTCGATTCGACAAGTGAAGAAACTCGTCTCCTATTTCTACCCTTCCGTGTCGTGGATGATTCCTGAGTTTGTTTATGTTCCTCGCTGGTTACTGGCAGCGGGCGTTCATACGTTTTGATAACGTATGGTGAGAAATGCCTGTCACTGGATGGTCGATGTTTGTTCGCTTCTCTACTTAGCTTCTTGGACTTCAGTTTCAAGTCCTAAAACGTGTGTGCGGTTAAACCTAGCTATGACAATAATATGATAATATGATAATTACCGTATAGCGAATCTGCAGGGGCCCGTTTCTCGAAAGTCCCGATAATTAACGGGCCGGTAAGCTGTTGCCGTTTACATTAAAGATCGAGGTTTCAATAGTTTTGCATCTAACATGATAAAACTATCAGCTAATGAAACAAAATGGAGTAGTTTGCTAGCCAGGACCCACGCCTTTATTCTTTATATTTCGATTTCAATATTTGATTTCGGGCCCGAAAAGTTACCGGGACTTTCGAGAAACGGCCTCCTGAACACAAGGCAGAGCAAGATGCAAATTTCGTGCGCTTTAGGACGCGTGCTCTGTTCCCAATATTCCCAGAGGAGTCCTGGGTACTAGAATGAATCCGAATACGAAAAAAAAAATTGGAATTTAAATACGGACCAGTGTGGACGTGGAAATCTTTGAATCCGGAAAGAAAAAGTTGCGGATTCAAAAATATCCTGATACCTGTGGACGGGGCCTTATTGTTTGAGGGGTTATACTTATGTTTCACTCAATTTGGAGGCTGTTGCCACCGTGGCTTATTTTCGATAAGAGTAATTTCCTGACTCAGTTCTATTTTCAATTTAGAATCCCAAGTATTTTTGTTCCTTGTACAGTCAGAAACCACTACAAAAATGTTATATTTCTCGTAGCGAGTAAATCGGAAAATAATCAAGGGGATACTCAACCTCCAGGGTTCATTCAGGCAACGTAAGAGGCTCCCTCCTCTAGCAATGTTTTTGTATCCACCCCACCGTACTCAGGGACCTTAAGATCCGACGACGGCGACGGCAACGAGGACGTCAAGAAAGCAATAGGTTGAATAACCGAAACAACAATTTTGCACGAGCATCACACTTTTTTGTACATTCTTTTGCCCTCACTGCATAACTACGATGCGAAAATGCCTAATTTCACGTTTTACAGAGGAAGTGCACAGGCGACGACGAAATTTCCTCTCTCTTTCTGAACTTTGATATGGTTCTTAGGAATTCAACTTTAGGAGGGTTCATCTACATTTCACAAAGTTAGTGACTTGGAGTAATCGCGATGAAGATTGAAAGAACGCGAATTCACTTTTTCAGCGACGTTTTCGCTTAAAAAGTTTAGCGCGATTATCCCAACTCGCTCACTCTGTCTAATGTAGGCGAATTTTCCTGGAGTTGAATTGTCAAGAAAGATATTCAGGTTTAAAAAGAGAAAGAGAAATTCGTCGTCGTATATTCACGTTTTCGATATAACGTGAAATTGGGCCATTCAGGTCGTAGTCGTGGAGTGACGGCAAAGACATGTACAAAAAAGTGTGATACACGTGCTAAGTTGTTGTTTTCCTAACCTAAAAGCTATTGTTTTTGTGACGTTCTCGTTGTCATTTCCGTAGTGACACCATAAACTCCCCGATAGTCGCCCCATGTAAGGAAATACGGCTTGTAGAATCCGAAATCAGGGAAATTCATGCTACTGGAATCCGGATCCTGGGCTTTGAAATCCAGAATACAGCTCAAGAGATCCGGTATCCCTCTAATCCAACGATTGGAATCTGGCATCCAAGTTCCACTGACAAAGATTCTGATATTGAGTACCTGGAATCCAGAATCCACGGCGTGGAATCCAGAATCCAAAACTGTCTTGGATTCCCTTTAATTCATGTGGCGATAACAGAGAAGAGAAGTCGTTACGTCACATTGCCATGGTAGCAAAATTTTTAGATGACAACAAACTGAAAACGTCACTTAAAAAGTGAATTTGCACTACTTCAAACTTCATCGATCTTATCCAATTTCATTTAATTTGGCAAGTGTTAGCAAAATTTTCTCGGGTTGAATCCGAAAGGACTGTAGCTAAGTTTAGAAAAAGAAAAAGACAACGTCTGTGTTGTGTTCACCTTATCCATAAAGTGAGCGTGTGAAATTAGGACGCTTTATGTCGCAGTGGTGCAACGACGGCAAAGAAATGTACAAAATAGCATGATGCACGTTCAAAGTTGTTGTTTTGTTAATAAAAACCGATTACTTTCTTGCCGTTCTCCTTGTTGTCGCCGTCGTCGTGGGTTTTGTTTTCATCCAGAAATAGTGCTGCCATGGTAACTGACGTCACACCTCGCCTCTCTCTAATAGAGCGTTTAGCAAAAGGGGGCTGTCTGTCATGTGGAATGGCCTTGGTAACGAACTCAAGATGAGAAGTTCTTTCAAGTCGGCTCTGACTTTGTCTGGAACTGCGATAGTACTTAGTTTAAGTTAGTCTATATGTATTTAACTGTAGAATAGTTTCTTTTAGTTTTTTGATAATCTTAAATTGCTTTTGTGTCTTTTTTAGCTGCATAATTTTCTCTTAAAACTTGTTATGTAAACGGCTCACTGAAAGAGCACTTTTAATGAAGTGATACCATTAATAAAGCTTTTTGATTGACTGATTGATTGATTGTATAAAGAGCAACGAAAGGAAGTCAATTCCGACTTTTCTAGACCGCGTACCAACAGAACACAGGAGCACCTAAAGACTGTTTCCTGCTAAACACATTGAAAACACTTTTTAGGCTATCTAGAGTACTTTTAGATATTTTTACTTCTTTACTACTTTTACTTTTAGTTCTGTCATCCTAGGGGAACTTGAGTCTTTTCGAAATTAACAGAAAACAGCCTAACCTAGGCAGCAAAATGTGAAACTTCAGAAAATCGTACGGAGTTTATTAGATAAGCCTCGACAATTGTACATGAAGGGAACGGTCATCTAGAACTTATTAGCCTTCTTCAAGTAATAGAAAATCCTAGGTAATATTTGGTTTTCCGAACAGTTCTACAGTAAACGGTCGTTGGGTGCTCCTGATAGCTCAACGTCACCGTCCAATGATGCAATTATCTTAGCTGAACAAGATCTCGTACTGCCAGCATGATCTTACTAGTTTTTTAAAGACCCTGGTTGGTCCGGGCAGGATTTGAACCCGCGACCTGGCCAATCGGGCGGGGATATGAATGGAAAACTTGAATTGCTGTTTATAAATCTATAGAATCAAGTGTTTTGTAAATACTTTTAACAGCAAAATTAGTTTTAGTCAGTAATACCTGCAGAAGTGGGCCGACGGAGGATGGGGCATTTGCCCTCTTTTATCGTCCCCACCCCGGTGGATTTGACCGCTCAAGAGTCCCCACCTCAGTGAATTTGCCATCCAAGGCCAAAAAAAATGCTTATGCCCGGTGTCTACCCGGGAAAGGGGGGGGGGGGGGGGGGGGGGGGGGGGGTTGCTGGGTGCAGCTGGAATTGACTGATGCCAGTTACATGAAAATCTCCAGCCAGGTTAGCTTAGATCAAATTGGCATCACCATGTGGGGATCCCAGCTAGCACACCTGGGTTATTATGAGCATAACGCTGATTAGCCTGCGAATACAGCCATCTCTCCTTGCTCCTCGCCGCTAGGGACGTTTCACAGGAGAGACCTCTGTTCCTCGGCCAAAGAAATTCCATACTAAAAATGATGTAAATCACCTTACATATCAAATCCGGTAGTCATGGACCGTTGTTTCGAATGTAAATTTGTTTGATTTTACGTTTGGCCTGGTCAACTATGGTAAAGTTTTGTGCTCTTCTGCGAACGAGCCCCAGCAAAACTCAAGTGCGTCTTCTAAAGAAAAATATGTTCTATAACTATTGACTGTTTGAAAGTAGATATATCGAGACCACCGTCTCATGTTTCAGTCATCTCATCATGCTCTGAAGGAAACTGGTAATGAGTATTCCTCGGAAACTGGGCGGGTGGGAGGACGGGGGAGAAGTTTGGGGAGCCCGTAATAAATGAATCGTGACAGATGTTTTCGAGAAAAATGCGATAAATTTAAAGCCACGAAAAGTGTTTAAAATCCACCGATAGAAAATGATAAAGATATGGTAAATGTACCATCTTTTTAAGAGTTTCCGCCGTTCGGCCTTGTCGTTTCGTCTTGCCCGACTCTACCCCGGAGAGTATAGAGGATCACGCACGAAAAATAAACATTTTGCCGGGCGATCATCGTAACAGTCTTACAAAAGTTGATGTAAACTGGACTTTGCCTTAGCGTTTGCTTTTTTTGTTTGCTCGTCTCCAGCGTATATTTTGGAGAGACTCAAGTGAGCTCCAGATACTCCTCATTTTCGTCTTTCGATCATCAGAGTCTTGGGATAACTTCAAGTAAGCCATTTAGCCTACGGTTTTTTTTCTGTGCTTGCATGCAGTTAATTTATAGCTATTTATTGAGCCACCACTCTCGTAAACAGTTATTAATTTTATTGTTAGCGATCGATTTTCGTTTTTCAAAATCAAGAGTCAAACCGCACTCGTAGTTGCAACCCATCCTCGGCTCTCCGGCGGTTTGATAATCTAAACTGCATGATTATAGGTTAAGAGCTTTTTTAGTTGTCCAGATATATCACTGCTCTCTTACATTTCCCAAAAACTCCTGGCTGACCCAGTGATTTTTGCTGTCATTAATGCAGTGATCTGATCGTGTCAGGATTTTTGACGACATCACGCGAGAGGTTAAGGCACAGGTAGTATAGGGCAAGCTCTGTCAGTCCATAAATATATTAAACTTTCTTATGTTGTCGTGCCACGTGAGCGTCGCAATAACATTGCGTAATTGCGGTTGTGAAATTTAAAAATTTGTGTGTGGGAAAAAATATGTGATTTCATGTCCTAAATTTTGTTATTGCAATTTTTATTATTATTGTAATTAATATTTTAAAAATCTTTAAATATCGCTTACCTTGAGTCCTTTGTTTATTGTCTTTTATTGGAAAATAATAATGAATATAGCTTTAAATGTCTTAATTTTGCCATGAGATCAAATATTTTTTCGTATTTATAAGTTTCACTGTTATGCAATGTTATTGCAACATTACA